CATAGCTCAACTGATGCTTGCAAAATCTAACGAGCTGGCAGAAGATGCTTGCATGAAGCTTGTCATGGAGGTATAATGCTGCAGGGACATTGGCCTCGTCTGAAGATGTCAATAGCGTTTGGCTGCCGATGCAGTAGCTTCCTGGTCAACGGCAAGAGCTGTGCAGTTTTTTTCCTTCAGTTTGTTTCTGCGTGTTGCGTCTGCTGCTACTATGGTAGTGCTTGAGCCTTGCGCGGCATCATTAGTTCGCACTTCACAAGATTATGTCCGGAGGATCAGAACAGCGCTCAAAGGAGCTTTATGGAGCAAACTGTTGAAGCCAGCGCACGCGCCACTCCCCGCAGCCGTCTTCAGTCCTCAGTGCACCTCCACGTGTTTCGGCAGCCCCAGCTACAGCTTAGCATATCTCCGCCTTGGAAAGGCTTGAGAACGGACGCCTGTCGCATGTTTGAAAACCAGATCATTTTGCAGAAGAGGATATCTCTAAGCTGGTGGCGCTCTTTGCTGTGTGTCTGTCCGAGCTCGGCAGTCCATGGCGCAGGCCAGGCCAGTTTAGGGGACAGGAGCGGCTTGTGAGCTCACTGTGCTGCAGAGGCCTTTCGAGAGGAGCTGGAGCGGCGCCTGTCCAGAGCCTCCAAGAGTGAGGATCTCAAGCAAAGTTTAGTGGAGGCTCCGGTCGCGGAAGTTTCGGCAAAGGCTCCGGCAGAGGCCCCTGCAGAGGTTCCTGCAGCGGCTCCTAATGTCTCGTCCCTTGCACTATCGTTGAATTTCAGTGCGAGGGAGACGGAGGTGGAGGCAAAGGCACCGCGCTCGCTGCTTTCACCCATCGCGGGCTCCGGTTCCAGCTCTAGCTCCTCGCCACAAACCTTCGTGAGCCAGGGCTCCCGCAGCTTGGCACATGAGAGATGTTCGGCCTGCAGAGTTTTGCAGCTCCCAGCCGGGACGAGCCGAGGAGGGAGAGCTCTGGACGTGGCGCGCGCGGACAGCACAGGCCTCCTTGGCCTCGGCTCCTCGCGGTCCACGTGGGGCAGGCGGCTGCTGGAGGCGGACGTGCGCTCTCTTCGAGCACAGCTGCAGGCGCAGAAGCTGTTTGGAAATGTTTGGAAAGAGGCGAGACTCGAGAGGACAGGCTGAGCCCCACGCTTGCAGGAGGAACGAGCCCGATCGTCGCGCCTGGCAGCTGAGCTGCGCCATGCGCAGGCGAATGTGCAAAAGCTGCAGGGGCGGCTTGGCCTCAACATTCAGTTCAACTTTCAGCGTGCACTCGCTGCAAAACTTGCCCAGGCAGCTGGATTTGCAGAGGGAGCGAGACGAGCTATTGCAGGATCTTAACAGCAGTTTGAGGCAAGAGCAAACCCGCAAGGGCGGCCGCGTTTGCCGCTCAATGTGTGCGCTGCTTGGGCGCCCGCAGACCTCAACCTGACCGTGACCTGTGTACAGCCTGCATGCCCAGCAAACATGTCAGGGAAGGCCAAACCAGGGAAATCGGTCCCGGTGCAACCGGTGCAGAGACACGGAGCAATATTGGCTTGGCCTTGGCCTCCTCTGCAACCTGCGCAGCCTGCGCAGCCTGCGCAGCCTGCGCAAGCTCGGCAAGCTTGAGTGCAACTCCAAGGGGAAAGATCAGATTTTGGTTTCAGCACGCCACTCTTGAAGCATGTCTAGTAATTGCATGCAGTAGTGGGTTGGCAACAGGCCAATCGATCAGCGCGGCTGCAAGCATCGGTCAAAAACTGACAAGTCCAACCTAATCTTGCGATACTCTTGTGGAGAGAGATTACCCTTGCAAGCCGGAGAAAGTGTGCGCAGGGAAATGAAGACGAGCCACACGTCAGAGCAGAAGGAGGCAATGAAGGAGACCAAGGCTCACAGCTTTGTAGCAAGAAGATGTTTGTCAGACCATGGCCGCTGCCTGGCAGGCGCAAGAGAAGCAAGAGAAGAAGGCATTGATGGCTGAGCTGGCCAAGGTTGGTCTCTAGGTCCTCTAGGTCGAATTTGGAATTTCTAAGTTTGACGGAGCTACCCAGATCGAGAAGATGCGCGCTGAGCGCGAGAAGGATCGCTTGCACAAGCTGAAGCAGGCGGGAGGGTGGTTCCCTGCAGCACACTAGAGTCGCTAGAGATCACCAGAGTGGATGTGAAGAGTCGGCTCAGAACAGCCAGGCGAAAGGGAAAAGCAAGGCTCTGGACCCCTCCCATCCTGCCCTCCCTCGGCCTTATGATGCTCGCATATGCTCGCTGTTCCGGCAAGGGAAAGCGGTCGGCGGCCGAAGCTGGGCTTCCAACCAAGGCCGCTGTTTGGGGAGTTGGAGATGAGCGTGTTTGTACTGCGGCGTTGAGGAGCCGGAGATTCGTGACATCGACTGAGCCTCGCGAGCCTCGCTGAATCGGGGCGCAAACAACATGCGCCCTCTCTGACTCTGACCTGCCGAGAAGAGGGCGGCAAGCTGAAAGCTACTACTTCCCGTTCCAGCGTTTGGGGTTGATGCTGGACGGGATGCTTCAAGTAGGGGCACCCGCCCGTTTCAGATAATGCTTCAAGCACTGCGACCTCTGCAGACTTGCGGGCCGAGTTGCGTGCAACAGTGGAGTCATATGGCAAGACAGGGCTGATTCAAAAGCTTCCTCCACCATGCCCACAGCTTTGCTGCTTCCAGCTGCTCATTATGCCAGCGGGCTGTACAGACACGTGCCGACGGCCATTTAGGGTGGCCTGCTACAGAGCAGGTCGAGCAAAATGTTCGGACGGTGTCACTCGACAGGTCGAACGGTCCACATGAGTTTCCTGCCCGGGCAGTCAAGCTCTGCCAAGTCCAACCGAATCGATGCCCTGCTCCCAGCTTCAGTTAACGAAAATCTACGAGGGTGAGCAGATGAGATGCGAAGCAATAGCATCCTGTGTTTGTGTGCTAGTTAGTGACTGCTAGTCTGCACGGCACATTGCAGGAAAATCTGTAAATCGAGTTGCGAAGGTTGGGATGTAGCAATGGCTGAAAAACACGCGGATTTGCAGCATGTTTCATGTACAGTGTACAGGTGCATCAGTCAATAAACTGCATATATCGTAGCTCACATTCCGAGACCAATGTAGACCGGCTTCCCGCGGCCTGATGCCGGCATGGCTTTGGGCATTGTACCTTGCGAGCTTCAGGCGGGAGCCGTGCAAGCCCCGTGCAAGCCAACTGAAGACGAGCCTGCCAATTCCGTCAGGCTTGTGGTCCAATGCAGCACCAGTGCGCTTAGCGAACCCTGGAGACCAACGGTTTCCAAGAGCATCCAGCTGCCTGGCTCGCGCTTCGCAAAGCTCAGCGGAAGCGCTTCTGCAGATGCTTCTCACACCGAAACGCTCAGGAAATCTGCGAACCGCAGCAAGTGGCGGCACGCTGAGCACGTTCTACGCTGGCGACGCCGCCTGCAAGAAACGACGACCTTATCAACACAGACATTTCCAGGTGAGTGGCCAAATGCGCATCCAGTGTTTCAATTGGGTGAGTACTCACTTTCCGTACCACGTGCCGTCATGTGCGCGATGCGCCCGTTCGCATGCTTTGCGTTGCCCTCATGTGAAGTGCACCCAGCCCAGACGCTGCCATGGTGCGAAGGCTTCAATACGAAGCGCTCGGAGCTGTGCGTGGGGCAGGGCCAGTCCGTTCTGCAGGAGGAGAATCTTTTGCCAAACTTTTGCCCAAATCTTCGAGCATGGTGTGTTGCTTGGGAAGTATCCGCCAGGAGCGCCCGCTTTCTAGCACAAGTTTGAGCCTGTGCTCCTATTGTCGAGGTCGCTCGGATTGCACACATTATCCTTTCGGGTGTATGTTGTTCAAGAAAACCCTCACTTCGTGTTTCTGGAGTGAAGGACCCGACATCGATCCGTGCATCTATGATGTCTCGGAGAGCCAGGGAGGGCGATGCAGCTTTGAGTTTTGCTAATCCTTGCTTGCGTCATTGAGTCGTGGGATGCCAGTGCGGCAAGCGGTCGGGTCATCTTCGCAGCCCAAAACTGACTCTGAAGGAGTGCTTTGGAGTCTCGCAGGGCTCGTCCTGCAGGCCATTCCTGTTCTTCCTGTTTGCTCTGTTCTCTTTGGCCTTGAAGTTCGTGTCGCAGATTCTTGCAGGGTGCGCTGCAAAGCGCCTTATCTTGGAGCGTCGTGCCTCGCCAGAGACGGGCAGGGTCCAGTTTGCAGGCAACGGTGACGGTAACACAGTGAGGTCGATTGCGCTGTGTCCAGCATCTGGAACCTCGGGCGAGGAGGTGCGCGAAGATTCCGCAGGCTTCCCCTTGCGGCCGCGGCCATCGGCCCATAGCAGGCGAACCTGAGCTTCCAGCTGCCGAACTGCGTTGCGGCTTTGGAGCAAGACAAGGCTACCCATGTACGGTAACTACGTTTACACTTTGCAGCGAAGACGGTTTTGCTGCAGGTATCGTGCCCGAATCCGGCGACAATCCCATCGGGCTACCTTCAGGTGAAAAACAGCATCAGTTCTTCAAAGAGGATCTGCGCATACTTCGACAAGACAAGATCGAGCCGTGTGCCAGGTGCAGGAGACGGGGCAGTGGACCTGCCGAGACGGTTATTACGGGGAGGCAAGCGACCTCGCATAAGTCTAGCTGTTGAAGCTGCAACGCAGAATGCTGTTCCGACCGGCAAAGTGGTAGAGTTAGAAGGTTGCAACTACCTCGGGCCCCAGCACCGATGTGCTCGTGACCTCAAGAATGGAAAACGGGTGGTCCATGCTTGCACCTGTGGAGGCGGTGAGAGAGTGCACTCTGCTACGGGTTGGCGACACATGCGTCCTGCAGGCTTCGATGGGTCCTTAGTCCTTCGTCCTTCGTGCGTCAGTGGTTGGTGTTTCAAGCGCAGGCTGTCTTCTCTGGCTGTTTGCCTCTTCTGCCATGCCGTCGACCCGATCCTGCTTCTGATTTTCAAGATGCCGTGCCTCTCGATTGTAACAGATTTATGGCTTGCAAGTGCGAAGTGCGGGAACCAGTACGGCAGACCTGCGACAGCACAGCCGAAATCTTCCAAGATCTGCTAGTATGGGTTGACGCAAGAGTCCAGTGGGAGCATTGCTCGCGTGAAATGCTGGAATGGCGTCCAATCCCTCTAGGTCTGACGTCCCTTCCTGTGGCTTCGATACCAGCGGCTGTGAAAACGCGCCTGGGTCGCAGCTCAAATCAGCTCAAGGAAAGTTACCGGCTCCGGGAGATATGCAATCATTTGCAACCTTGTCTAAGCTCGGGTGTGTCGATACTTCAAGCATCTCAAAGCTATGCTCGATTCCACGCCCTCATTGGGCCGCTACTCATCCAAACAGCTCGTCTGTCATTCCCAACACTTGCTCTGTAGCAGAGCTCTGGACAGCGTCTGAGGTTCAGCCTGGCGCATCGTGTCAGATTCACTGTCAGGAGCCCTTTATGGGCACTAGCGTTACTGCTGCGTGTCCCAGCACGACTCTTGGCAGCCAGTCGAGTATTCAGAGTGGGCGGCACACAGTTTAGTTGGTGAGTGTTCTGCCGTTACGAATGAATGCGGAGTTTCAGTTTCGTGTCTTCAGGAACACGGATCCAGATGCCCAGCTGAAGCTTTCCTGCATTTGAGTGTTAAGTGGGTGGACACAGTAGACATTCCCAAGGCTAGGAGATGGTTTCAGTGAGAGAGTATGTCTGCTCGTGCTCTGGCACGCAGCTTTCTTCAGAGTGGCTCCATCTCATGAAACACGCCGCGAGCTTCTGTTGCCGGAGTCTCGCGGGCACTCGACGTCAAGTGTGATAGCACAAGTCCAGCTACTTCATCCTGCTTGGGCATCAAGGAGAGAGCATGCAACGGGAGAAACGGAGAAGACTTAAAGCTCTCGGGGTGGAGGTTCTTTCTGGTGTCGGAATTCCAGGAAAGTCTAAAGGAGGAGAACTCTCCGATGATTGAACGGCACGAGGAAAGGCAGGATTTGGGAGGGTCTCAGATTCTGCCAAACAGCTCCAGCCAAAAAGCAGAGGAGGCGGGGTAGAGGTACGGGACTGGAAGCCCTGACCAGAGGGGTTACTTCATGGGGCAACTTGTAGTTGGAGATAGTTCATTTCCTGCATCAAAGCCATGAATTCACGTTGAAGCTTTCTGGGTTAAGACGTGAGATGGGGTGAGCGGCGCTGTGACATCTGCAACCGCAAGTTCATTTCAGCAGCCCCGTGCGAAGCACTGGCTTGGATGCCGGGTTTTGCAGTTTGACAAGCATCATGTACGGGATCCATTCTCTTTCGCTCTCACTCCCTCATTCCCTCACTCTCCCTCCGACTCCCACTCCTCTGACAGATGCTGGCGCGGGCTGAGCAGCTCAGGATCTACACTCGGCCGCCATGCCAGAAACGTTGCCCCAGCTCAGCAATACAGGAAGTGGGGCCTGGTTACAATCACGACTTCGCCGCCTGGCCCGGAGAAGACATGGAAAGTTCGCAAACAAGTATGGCATCCTTGCACTGTACTTCTGCCTAAGTCAGTGAGTCAAACATGGTCATTCTGTCATCCCGTGCTGCCGGCACTGAAAGGATCGAGACCGCTGGTCCTGTGCAGAGGGCTTCACCGGCCAAGCCGTCATCAACTCAGTCAGGGCCGCGTGCAGTCAGCCTTGTTGCTGTGATGCTGGGAGCTGTGCCTGTAGAATCCTGTAAATTCGCCTACATATGTCACAGGTATTCACAGGTATTCACAGGTCTTACACTGTCTTACGGGTGGTCAACGAAGCCTTCGCAGCTCCAGCAGAGGTGAAGCTTTGTGAGATCGACGACCAGTGCGGGCGGAACGTGAGCCTGACTGGCTGCGCAGAACTTCGGCCCTGCCAAGCTCCAACGCTGGATTCCTGCAGGCGGCCGGTTGGGCATGCGCTCGTCCTTGTAGAGCTTCGTCGCATAGGTGTTAATTGTGCAGTGTATGATGGTAAGGTTCGTGCAGATGAGAGTACGTAGTCGCTGCAGGAACCGCCAAGCATGGAGTCAGAAAACGCCTCATGATATGCCGAGGGAAAGAGTTTTAGCAATGCGAAAGCCGTGTCGAGTCTGGTCGTAGTCGACCCAGAGACATGGCATGAAACCCATCTTCCCGTGATCGCGTTCTTCACACAGGAAAGACCCCATGGTTTAGAGCATGAATAGCATGCCAATGTCAAGCTGCCAGGTACGACTGGTCAAGTTGTGGCGATTTTGCGCCCGGGACCAGCTGCCGAATTGCTTGCCGCACGCCATTCGAAGGCACTCCCTGTCACAGCTCGGTGACAGCAGAACCGGATTGCTCGGCAGACCTGCAGGTGAAGGCTTTCCGGCTTTTTGCTGGGCCAACAACTCGGATTCCATGGCGCCCCTGAACTTCGAGGTGCCCTGGTGCAACTTGAATTGCCGCACTCTCAGTACCCGCGCAGCCCACGGTCCAAGATTCAAGTCTGAGCTTGCGGCTGACCTTTCATCCTTGGTGAACTTGTGCTTTGTTTTCGCTTGTCTGGGCTTCTCCCAGTTCAGGCCCTGACCCGCTTCCGCTGCCAGAGGGCTACACCAGGCACCAGCTTGTCTCGCGAGGGTTCGGATCCGTTTGAAGATTCCTTGTTGTTGAAATGCCGTACAAATGCCAGGCAAGCGACAGGCTACAGATGCGACGTGGGCTACACAGGCCGCTCAACTTGCACCTATGAGTGCTAACAGATTTTCCGGATGCATGCGCTGACCAATACAATCGAAGCAGCTGGCCTGTGTCCAAACTTTCCACAAACGTTGGCAAGAGGCTTGTGATGCTTCGGTAGAGGCTGTCTGTTCAGACTCCTGAGAGTTTCGTATTGCAGCTGGCGGAATGCGAGTCTTGTTGATTGTTTCCAAGACTGCTCCAAGGCATTGTGGATCGATCCTGCAGCGTGGCGCCAGAGGATTGCTCATGGGAGGCGATACCGCTAACTTATCATTGAAGAGCTGAATACTCAAGCCACCAGACCTGTTGCTGAGTTGCTGCATGATGCCAGCATGGGTCACGCCAGCGACAGTTCTTGCAAAGATCGCCAGGTAACGTTTGCTGGCTGCGACAAGCTTGTGAGCTGCAAGGCGCGTCTTCTTCCATAGAGCACACAGGGCGTGATGTCTTGACAAGAGCATTTCCCAGTCTGTACATGGCTAGCGACATTTGCCCAGGCTCTGCCTGAGCCGGAGGACAGGCGCGCGGTGCTTTCTGCAGCAGAGCGATGAGCTTAAGTGCCCCAAGGGACCCCAAGCACTGCAGCTGGCGTCAGGTGTCAGTTCGATGTGGAGGACTGTCAGAGACCAGTCCCTTTGGGACAAAGCTGCGAAGTTTCCTGGTTGCTTTCTTCACCTGGCAGCCGAGCATTTAACTCTCCACGTGTTGCTGCCGAGACTCGCTGCCGCGAGCCCTACATCGGCCTGAGCTCGCAGAGCAAGTGCCCGACGAGGAACACGGATCCCGAGAGGCTCGGAATGTCATGTCGCGCTCTCTCGCGCTCAGCTTTTTTGATGGGTCCAGGACTGTGGACTTTCTCCCGCCCAGCTGCGCAGTTCCCGACTGTCTGGGCCCCAAACTGCGAAAAGGGACCAGGCATGCGAGAAGCTGACAAGGCCCGGAGCCAGTGCCCCGTGGCTATGCGAAGACGGAGAATGGCTGGCAATGTGCTCCGGGATATGGGGGAACAGTCCGGAGCCCGACACATCCCAGAAGGCAGGTGGTCGTTTAATCTTCTCCTGGTGGAAGTGAGGTGCTCAGCAGCTGCACAACATGTGGGAGGCCGGGCATGACTTTTTGTAGCTCTTGAACCACCGAAAAATGCCTCGTTTCGGCCTTTGGCTGGTTGGAAGGCTGGTGCTTCGAGGCTGCACGCCGGCCATTCCCTGCAAGCCGGTAGAAGTCGAGGAGAGCCTTTGCTGAGCGCTCGCATAGCATAACCTCTCGCATGGGAGCGTTTGAGGACCCTTGCCGCTATAACACCACAGACTGCTCCACCCCCCTCGGTCGCGGCCTCAACTCTTCATGCGATCGACTTAGTTGGATCTGTACCTGTCGATCGTTCATGCATCGATGCATACCGTGGCCATTTTTGCGAGAGAATAACCCATCCGGACCCAGTGGTTAACATCGATTCTCTTCTGCTTCAGTCTGCAAGTACCGACCCGAACCCGGAAGCGGTCTGTCCTCAGCAATCTCAGAGACACTTCAGTCAGAAACGCAAGATATCAATTGTCGACTTGGAATGAAGTCTAATCCAAAGACTTCGCCGATGTGAAAGCAGTTGGAAAAAGGTGTAACGAGCCAGGGATTTATGGATCTTGCTTGAAAGTGTTTGTTGTCGCTTCTGCAGTCATTGCAATAGAAGGAGCGTCCTGAGTTCGTCGGAAGTATTCGGAAGTTTGCACATTGTGCTCATGGTCCGCCTTGGTCTTGGGGTGGCCTCCTCGTGGGGGTTGCTCGCCCAGGTGCCGGTGAGTCGTGCATGATTACCTGCGGCAATGCCTACCAAGGCGCTTGCGAGCAGCATCTCTTGACTCACTGACAACCACATTTTTGCAGCTTCGATACATCTTCATCTGTCACACTCCGATGCCAGAGATCTGGACCGGCAGCAGCCAGGAAGCAGTCACTAGTCTTGGCCGGGTCCGAACACGACTGCGATTTGGATTGTGTCGTGCTCAATGTCAGGGGAGCCAACGTTTGCGACATGCCCTGCCGACAATGTCGATCCCGAGCGTCAAGCTGCTGCGCCCTCATTGGCATATGCCAAGGCTTCCTGACGTGAGCCTGCTGCCAGTTCTCCTGCCAAGGACATCGAGCGCCTGCCTGGTTGCAGCCTCTACTGCGGGGATCCAGACCCCCTGCCCGAAGGCAATGCAACTGATGAAGGATTTAAGCAGAGCTGAAGCGTGTAGCGGGATGGCTGGATGAAGTCGGCAATCCGTTCTTGGACTGGACGGCAGGTTACGTGATGCAGGTTGACATCGGGGGCTCCTCGCCTGCAGCTGGGTTCTGACAGCGCCTTTTTCGACTTCGGGTCATGATGGTGACTCAGCTATGGCATGGCTTCGCTTGGAGTCGGGAGCATGGTGAGCTGGTGGTTCGTGGCTCTGAAGAGTAGCATCGGATGTCTGCTGTTCCGGCTATTTCGACAGATTGTCTCCCAGTCGTAGCTTGCATATCTGGGTGACGAAGAACGTGCAGGCGGGCGACGGTTCGAATGTGCTGCTGGCTACATCGGTCAAGCCGAGAGTGGCATGGCTGCACAGAAAGTGTCCTTACCGTGTGTAATTTCAGGGCTGCTTCGAAAGATTTGCCACCGGCAGGCGAATGCCTGCTCCTGGATGGTTGCACAACGACCTTGCAACTTTCTGGTTGCAACTGCCTCAGAAACTGGCCTGGCCAAGGTGAGAGGGTTCGGGCACAGCACAGCGCAGCACAGGCCTGAAACTCCAGCCTTGCCTGCCTTTGCAGCTGCAGCTGCCTCATTCCGAGCGCTACGAGATAGAAGGCGTGATCGGAGGTCGGAAGCTAGTTGCTAAGATGTTCCAATGTGAGCCGCTTGAGAGGTTGTGACAGCGTCCAGCCGGGCCAGAGCTGCTTGGTCCGATGCAGCGATCCCTGGACGGGTCCGGAGGCGGAAGAGATCTTGGGCCTTGGGAAGTCTGCCTCGCTTCGCACAGCGGCAGGCTTTGGTCAGATGCCCGGAAAACAATCTTGACCCGAACCAGCCACTGATCGTGCCCGAGGCAAGTTCGGGCTTTGTGGGTTGCCCCGACTTGTCGCCATTTGTCGCCCTGGTGCCCGCGGAGGACTGGTACCTGGACAGGCATGGTGTCATGTACAACAGCCTCTGGCCGCCGAAGAGTGAGCCTGAGCAAGCTAGAGGAAGAACTGTGCCACGCCAGCTGTCTGAGACATGTGCTGCCGATGAGGTGCTCTTTACGATGTGACTCGCTCAGCCCAGGCTACGAGAAGGCTCCGCGTTTCTGCAACAGAGTACTACAACGTTTGTTTGACTTTGATGCATAAGCCAATGAACGGCCGCCGCCCGAGACAAGGGCTGGATTTATTGTGAAAGGTCCTCGGCGGCAGGTGGAGATGCGCGCCTGGCTTCATCGGGGAGGCCGTGACAAAGCCCCTCGACCTTGACCAAGCCTGACTGGGCTTCTGCTGTAACTGCCGTTGTGTTACTGGTAGGCCTTTTGACAAAGCTCTTCTGGCTTTCACGCAGCTCTCATCCCCCAAGTCAGCCCGAGGAGCTGCCACCAGCGTGGCGCCTGTGACCAGGCCAGCGCTTGCGTTTGCATGCTTTTGCTTCAAGCGGCAGAGTTCGAGAACAGGCAGTTTCCCTCGAGGGCTGCAGAGAGCTACTGCCGTGTGCCGTAGCTGCAAAGGCTAGCAGCGGCTAGCAGTTGGTCGAGTTTGCTGCGGCCGCCTGAAGCCGATGTCCTGATATCTGCAAGGTACCATCCCGGGCCTGGATGCCTGGAGCTCACTTGACCTGGAGTCTCGAATTCTGGGAGTCTCCTCAGAGCCTGCCGAGCTGACCTGTTCAGGCGTGCAAGTACGATGTCAGTGACTGTGGAGGGTTTCAGCGCGGCACTAGCTGCGAGGCCTTTCGATGGTCTGTTCCAGATCGTTTCAGAATCTCAGTGGCGGTTCAATCACATTTCAACACAAAACCTACCAGGACCTACCAGTAGACGGACACGCTAGCAAGCTTCTGTCCTATTGCTTTCAACATGTCCGTTCTGGTTGTCTGCAGTAGTATCAGTCTTGATGGAGACGTGTGCTTAGTACCCTCTGACCAGTGCGCCTTCGTGAAGCGGCAGGTGAAGTGCCGGGCGCCCTTCAACGGTACCGCCCGCATGATGCAGGGATCTGAGACGCTGAGCCGTGGGGATCCCATGCATTGTTCTGACAAACTTGACTTCTTGCGATGACTTAGGCACTGTCCGCAAAACAATACAGAGCCTGAAGGAGGCCGGAGACGTGATACTTGCCGGCCATGTCTCGTCTGTTGGCAACAGCCTTGAATCGTTTCCATGACGCAACGGTGAATTGCATGTCGCTGCCAGCGAAGTATGGCAAAGTACTGCTTCCGTGGAGGTCTCATCGGGGAGTTGCCAGACTGTGAGATTGAGGAGAGATGCACAACACCAGCGCACCTTTGCAGATCATGGCTGCGAGAATGCAGCGAGATCGATGTGAACCGCACCGCAGGAGTGCATGGATCCTGTGCCAATTCCTACGAACTACGAGCCGATCGATGCAGTCGCCTGGATCAAGTTACGAAGGCTAGGTTTTCAGAAACACGGGGTCAACAGTTGCGGTTGTCAGGGAACTCCAGCCAACAGTGGGCACACGCCAATAGTAGGCTATACAGCAGCAAAGACACCAGCAACGACAACGCCACCAGGACCGCTATTTGCAACAAAGACCACAGCTACATCTGTGCAGAGACGGTAACGGTAGCAACGCGGACACAAACAGTAGCATTGATTGCAACCGTAATGAGGACTTGAACTCTTGAAATCCCGCGCCGGTCTCTCGCCTCCTTTAGTCATTTGAGACAGCTTTCGTTGTTTGCAGCTTGATCCTCAAGCTATACTGAAGTTGGAATTAGGGTTGCGGACGGCTGGCTATGCCGCGCGGAGACACATTTGATTCGTTTGACCCTTTTGATGCTCATGCTGTGGGCCGGCCGGTCGTCACGCTATTGGAAGGTCATTGTCGGACTGTCAGACCACGGACTAAAGCCGCGTCGATATTTGCACTTCTTCTGGATTCCTGAGCTTTTGTCCACCCGTTCATGTAATTCACCCGTTCATGTTGCCCATCCGAGGCCGCGGGGCTGTGGAGTTGTGCTGCAGGCTACACAGGCCCTTGCATGGTCCATCCTCTGCGGCCGTTGTGCTGTGCTGTTTTTTGGCATGGAGGACTCGCTCAGAAGCAATGTGTCGCCGAACTCACAGAGGAGCCGGAGAACAGGCTGAAGCAGGCCCCGATGTTTGAAGTGTGGTCCGATACCCGATACTCGAATTCTTACTTCCTGAGCTGGCAGGACCGCTACAACCAGTATGGGATGCTGCAGCCAGAGTGTGCTGTACGAGGCTTCCTCGAGGGCTGCGTCGCAGCTTGGCCCATTACTGCATCGGAACTAGTGAACCAATGAATGTGCCTCGTTCTTCTTTTGCCGGGTGAGGGCCCCGGATCAACTGAGCCTGTGTCTTTGAGTCAGAAACACGCCCAAGACGGTGAGCTCATCAGGTAGCCGAGCCCTGTGCGCAATTTGTCATCGAGGACCTGTGCCGGGAGCTACTGCGCAGCGCAAAAGGAAAGAACAAGACGGAGAGAGAGTGAGAGAGTCGGGGAATTCACGAGTTTGCCGTGCTTCCCACAAGCCGCAGAACGTATGGGGGGCTGGTGGCCGGGGGACCTAAACCGTCCCCTACGTCTAGAGGACGGAGTAAGGGATGGTTTAGGTCCCCCGCTGCTTGCTTGTCAGAGAGGGGGCGTGTCAGGGACGGGGTTTAGTAAGGCGGAAGCAAAGGCAGGGCTGACTTGACTTTATCTGTGTTATTCATCAAACAGAGATTTCAATTAACTCAATGCGCCACCCGTTCTGATTGAAGTATGATCTCGACACGCTGCTGAAGCAACGACAGTCGGGAAGAAATGGCCCGAGACGGGCCCGACACCAGGGACGAGGTACGTCGAGGCTGCATGGGTTGGGGTTTGAAGTTGGGTTGGGCTCAGCCCAGGCCCAACTGAAATCCAAACAATTCCGGGCCTCGCCACAAGTCCAAAGATGCCAGCAAACTCGCACTGTCAAGTGTTGGGGGAGCTGGGTGGGGGCTACGAAAGCCAGAATAGATATGTACTAATTTTCACCCTCAGTGCAGAAACGCTCCATAACGCTCCTCTGCCACCCCTGCTGCAGATATTCTAGCAGGCTGCTGAGAGGTCCTAGGCCCCGCCCGCCATAAAGGGGATTAGCTTCGGAGCAGAAGACAGCGGTGCCTTTCCCCTCTGCAGGACACTTGCATGTTCGCTGCTTCATCCTGCAACGCACAAATCGTGGAGGACGGAGATTTCTGTTGACAGACCACGAGACTTAGTGAGCTTGCACGCAGGGCCGTCTGGTGATTGCAGCTCTCCAGCCGGGTGAAAGTTGCGAGGCAGCCGCAAGTCGACTGGTCCGCTCGAGAGCAGTATGCGTGAAAGTTGCAATCAGGTGAGTTGCAAGGCTCCGTACCAGGCACGGTAGCTTGCACTCACGACTTTCAGATCCAACATGCTGAGATGATCTTTCAGGCGCAGAGCAGTCTGGTGCAGTGCCCATCGACGAACACAAACGTTACAACCCCTCCAGCACGGAGCACAGCTGTTTACATGAGGAAGCTAATTTTAACGCTCCGCCGCCCGCCTCAGCTTGGCGGCGAGCAGCACTGTGACATTTCGGCAATGCTCAATTACGCTGATTGCCAGCAGTTGAACGAGGAGGGTAGGGGAACCAGAAAGGGGAGGGGGAGGGTGGGGATAGGGAGGGAGATGCGCGGGAGGGGGGGGATCGGGGGGTGGGGAGGGGCGGGGGTGTATAAATTGCAGGCCCAAAGCGGGCTGTGGGGGAGGATTAGGGTACTGAGTTAACCTCTGCCGGAGTCGTTTTTTGACTTATGTTCAAGCGAGTTTGCGCGCCTTCTTTTTGGTTGAGGTCTGGACCCCGCCAGATTGTGAGCTGGGTTGCCCAAATGTGGCGCCTCCACCTGGCTATGCAACGGTCCTGGTGTGTTTCACACGCTTGGCAGAAGACTCTGTATGTCGTGTGTACTGCCCTCAAGGTCCATGACTCTTTCGATGGGCAGTCGGCTTAGCAACGAAGTGAGCCGACGGCTGTGTCAGGAGAATTGCAGCATCCAGGTCACCAGATTCATGGGATTGGAATGCCACCGACGAGTTGGAGGTTCCGAGTGGCGGAGCGCACTTTCGCTTGCAGCAGTTGCAGGATTCTGTTTGCTTTTTCAGGTTGGCGACTGGACGTGCGCAGAAGGTTTCACAGGCAATGCATTGAGGTGGGGAGCCTTCCGAAAAAAGCTGTGCTAAAGATGGCACAGCGCCCGCAGCACCTGGCAAATTGCGAGCCTTTGCATGTGAGGACTTGTCGGCTGCTGAGCGGATGTTCAAGTGAAACGATCTTCAGCGGATGCTCTAGGCAGGGAATGCAAGAATTGTGTCACTGTCACTTGCTTAGAAAAGCATTGCTGGTGCGAGGCTCCTTCCATGCCGGCCATTTCTGACACAAGCTTGCGGAGTGAACGACCCGAAGCTGCAGATTCAGTCACGCTTGTCGTTATAGCCACCGGAAGAATTGTTTCTGTGCCATCGTGTGAATCCAAACGAGCTTTGTGCGGCGGGTAAGGCCACGGAAGATACATGTCAACAGAAGCATGTCTTCAACATATTGAAGACTCGAAAAGAGTTGTCTGCGGAAGGAGCGGCTCTACTCCAGTAACGGCTCTTTGTCTGTGTGCACATCCTGCGCAAGGGCTCTCCTCGGCTTCGCAACGGATCGAATGCACGGGCCACATTACGGCCATTACGATAAGAACACGGAGTCGCATTCTTGGAATGCACGGGCCTGGGCATGTCTGCTGCAGCTTGCAGCTGTGGGAGGCTGTCAGACAACATCATTTCCTCGCTCTGGAAGCCAGCTCGCGAATCGTTTTGGGTCGACGTTCTGGGGTGATAGGCAAATTAGCATAGATTGCAGACTTTCACATTCCTTGTAGCACCTTGTACAAACCGGGAACCATGTTGAGGTCCCGCTTGCAATACACGTCGAGCCCAGTCATGTTACCTTCAATGAGCCATTCCTGCCAACGTTTGCAAGGAGAGCGCTTGCGCCCGCGCGCTGATGCCGGGAGAGAGCTGCACCATTACTTGTGGCGAAGGCGGTGCAAGGGCGTCTTGCTTTTGGCGCACCCTTATGCAGAGGCTCATGCTGCCTTTGGTGTGTATGCCTGTGCACATGCACATCCTCTCGCTCCCTCATGCAAACTTGAGCAGTTGCAGTAGGGCTGTACCTCATAGGTTCCGTTGCGTTGGGGTTGAAGGCCTCAACGAACACACAGATCTGATTTCTCATGGCAGCTACGATCGACAGCACAAGACTGCTGGTTTCTTCGTTGTGCTTGCCTTGCCAGGCCATGTGGGCGGTCCTTTCATGGCCTCTTGCCCCGCCGAGAACACGCGACCTGGAAGGTTCACTTTGGTGGTGCTGCATGGGGTTCTACTAGATTTTAGTATGGACAGGCTCTTTGTGCTAATGACCTGCATGTGAGAGCCGGGCAGATTCGGGGGCTCGATGCAGGCAGCTCGACTTTGCATCGGGGCCGCCGATTTGTGAAAGGACTTCGCTGAATGTTGGAAGCAAGTGACGCGCTGCACAAGACACTCCTCAACGTTGTGGTAGACGGTGGTGTGGCTGATACGAGATTGGTTCGGCTGACAGGATATTTCCCGAAGGCGGTTGCTACGACCCAGTCCAGCCACCACCAGGCAGAGGGCTGCGTGTGTCCCTCTGCTCAGACGGCGGACCCTGGGCGGAGGCTACGTTCGACCCAGCAACACGAGCAACTGGACCTGCGCAGAAGGCTTCGTGGGCTCTGCCCAGGAGGCCAGGCTTGGCGGGAGTGTCTGGAAGGGAGGCGGTGGAGGGGAGAGTTCGAGGTCTGTGAACAGCCGACGGGCGACTGCGGCAGCGAGCTGCAGCTGCGGGGATGCATCGAGCTCCACACCCGGAGCTTTCGAGGGTCAACGCTTGCGGACACTCTCGCACGCACTTCAGGCAGCAGCCCTGCAAGCTTCTGGAGCTGGACAGCTGCTACTTCGAAGCCATAGGTGTCACCGGACCGGGGGCAGGGCTAATCCTCAAGGGGTTTCAGCTGATCTGTCAAAGCAAGGTGTTGCATCGGCCGTGCCAATAGCTGGAGCGATCTGACAAACGTTTCTTTGACAGGCTGTGCAGGGCTCATGGGCGGTGAGTCTTGTTGCGGCCTTTGATCTTGCTCTCATCATCAGGCTCGCTCTGTGCATCATTGTAGCAGCTGCACAAGGTCAGATCCACTGCCGTTCACCATCGATTGGCACGCCAGTTTGGGCAACGAGCCTCGCCCCGCAAGCTTGCCTGCCTCTTTGCCGACCCGAGACAGTCGCTTCAGCTTTCACAGACTCAGGTGTCCTGTGGCAAATGTGGACCCCGACCAGGACAGAAGTCAAGGAAATTCACAAATAGTCTGTATCTGTGCAGATGGTGCCTCTTCTGAGACCTCATGCACTGCTTCTCAACTGATCAAGTAGCTTGACAGTAGGGTAGCGCAACAAGGGGAATACCATGAAACCAGAGAGCACGTCTGCACGTCTACGTCTGTGAACTTCCCGCAGGAGCCCACATTTACACCGCCAGTTTGCAGCATCCCCGATTGTGACCTCCCAGATGAGTTTCCAGCGGGCTATGAGATGCAGGAGGCCGGCCCAGAGATGAAGTGTCTCTGCACTTGTGGTTCACACACACACACACAGAGATTTCGTCTTTCAGTGTGGCCGCAAAGGCAGCAATGACATGTTCGTGTCGCATTCAGGACATCCAGAACGGGACCATCTTCTGCGCAGAGAAGTTCGCCGGTCGGCCGGAGGTCCATTGCCGGATGTGAGGTCGTGAAAGAAAACTCAATTGGCCCATTCTAGACTGAAGGTAAAGGCGTGCAGATGTTGCAGCGATGTCAGATGCAGGTGACCTGTGTCTTCGAAGATGACTGCAGCACCGGGGCTCGTTTGTCGGGCTGCCTGCCGCTGCAAGCTTGTGCATCGGCCTCAGGGCCCCAACAGGCCGCATGATGCCCATGCTGACACCCTGGCTTGGCTTAGGCTGGCCCGGCCAGCCTGGACGCGTGCAGGTGCCGGGCCGTGGCGAAGCTCAGCACCTAGCACCGGAGTGTGCGCCTAGGCACAGCATCAACCTCTGTCTGGTCGGGGCCTCGGCTAATGCCTGGCAGCGCTGCCAGAATCCAACAGCTGAAGGTCGATAGAATCCGGAACAGCTCTTGTCTCGAAGTTGGCTGTTCGCTCAGGACGGACCTTTGTTGGATGTGCCTGGCGGTAGCCGCTTCCTCGGATTTCCATCGCTGTTCGTATTCATGCGGCTACAGTACCGATCTCAACGACAAGGCATGCACACCTCCATGGTACTTGTGCTGCCCATGCTTTCTTTATTCGATAGCCCTCCGAAGCGCCAAGATGACGGCTTCCAGACGGTGAAGCCTGGCGGAGAGTGCCAAGTGAGCTGTCGCGGTGCTTTCGCCTTGTACTCGGATATTTAAGAAGTGCATAATTCTGAATTAGCCACAAAGGAGCAGTGCAGTGAGTCCTTTTTCACTTCGTGCTGGCCTGTTGAGGTTGGTAGGGCAACGGTGGGAAGATGCCCTCTGCTGCTTGGCTGCACTTACGAGTATCAGTGGGATCGTTCGATTTGTTCAGATTGTTGCTTGCGGCAAAGGAACAACACCGACCCTTCACAGCCACTGATCTACGTCTGGGGCATAGGTGCTGTCCAGGCTTCGTGTGGAAATAATATGCAAATGCCATGTAATCCCCTGAGACCGAGGATCCACCTCTGGCATGCGAGTGTCCAGATGATCTGTCTCCATGGCCAGAAGGCATCAAGTCTTGCGCCTTGAGATGCTGAGCTAAGCCAAAGCCTGGAAGCCTGGAAGGCTACAATCAAACTGGGGCCGGGCCCTTTGCGCACGTGCAGAGACCACACTCTTTCTCAGGCACTGCACTTTTCCCACGTAAGTAAGCGCAAACCAGGAACGTGGTTTAACCGGCTCGAGTTCACATGTGGAGCTCGCGGGAGATTCAACTAAGTAGTAGTGACCCAGGTCAAAATCGTGTCTGGGACCAGGACCTTATCGGCGATAGTCAACAGGAAGGGGGGAGAGGGAAGCCCGCCACCACCCCGCAATGATAGATTCAAAGGCACTAGCGAGGTGGGATGCTCCCAACAGCCGCAAGGTGGCAGAGGAGTTGCACAAGGTTGGGGGGCCCCTCCCCCTTCCTCCTTTGGAACCCTCCGTCCCTCAAGTTCAATCTGTTCGAGCAACATGGATCAACATGGCAATTGCAGGAAGTGTTGCGTTACGATTGTGCAGTTTGTTCATTGACGTCGCTTGGGTGCGTCGACGACCATGGCAGGTGAATCTGTTGTCCACACATGTTTAGGGTTTCGACCTGGCAGATTCAAGCCCCACGGCACTTGCCTCTGCGATTGAACGACAGAGTGCACACGTGCTTGCGCCCACCCTGCCGAGCATGTGCGCGACAATGCGCGAGCTCTATCAACGCGGCTCAGATTGTTTTCCCAAGCATATAAGCTCACATCACGAACATGTGAGGGAACCGACTCGAGTTCAAACGTTTCTCAGGCACCGCACTTTTGCTCTTCCTGTGTAGACTTGTGACGTCCGACGAGCCAACCAGACCGCCTGATCCGGCAGATCTTATGAGACAAGCAGAAATGAGAGGATCGCCAGGAGTCGCGACAGCTACGCGAAGATCATGCAAGACAGCATCCGCCAGAACTGACGGCGCACGAGAACGTTCATGCGTGAACGTGGACTCCAGTGCAAGCATCATAGAGTCGCTGGCCGGAGTGGTCTGAAGAGAGCCAGAATCTATGGTATGACGAAAGGCAGCACGACGGCGACAACCACATACGGCCCCGGATCAAAAACTACTGATGAGCGTACGGAGCGGACCGGCAGGGTCGATGCGTTCAACGTCAAGACAATCGAGACGGCAGCTGCAGAGTACTGTGGATGCAGTCGTGCGCATCAAATCGGAGGCTCGTGCGACAGCAGCTGGAGGCCGTATACACACAGATGAACATACTTAAACATAAATTCATACAAGGCTGACAACAAAAGCTGCCTCAGATTGCTTGCGTGATGCAGAGACAATGCTTGCGAGCCCATCGGGGGCAGTATTGGCGCACAGAGCAGCGAAAACGCAGTGCAGGAGTTCGTAACTGAGAGAATGAGGGAGGGACCTGCTACTTGTCCTGTGACGCATGCGTGATGCTTCAACCCCCTGACATCCCGCTCATGAAGCGAATTGGGTGAGAACAAGATAAGGTTATCAGCAACGACGGGCCCGAGCAGGTGCAAAGCTCTTTGGTTTCAGGGGACAATGCTGAGGCGCCGAGACGTATAGTGCTCGTGGCAGCGATTGGCCCTGAAGGAAGGCAGCTGGTACTGTGAAGAAGGCTATGGTGGAGTTCCTGAGGTGCGAGCGCACAAAGGGGGCCCAGGTGACGTGAGTGCTGTGTCCCGACAGGTGATGTGCGCCGTTGACGCTGGATGCCAGCCGGAGCTCATGTTTGAGGCTCCACAGTTTGCCAGAGCTCGCGAGCTTCCCGGGGTATCTGCTTCTTTCCCTAGAGCTGACAGATTTGCTGCTGCAAGCTGCCATCACCATAGCTTCCCTTCTTGCAGGGATGCGCAACTCTGCAAACATGCAAGTCCGACCCTCAACTTCAGCAGGCATAAAATGCAGAATCCTCTTGCTGAGCTCAGCACTCACGCAAACCAAAGGCCGATGAACCTCACCGTTCCCCAATGCCAGTATGCAAGGGACTTACCGCAACTGTAGATCTGCTCCGCGTCGTGCTGCCGGTGGCACGAGTTTAGCCTGAGGACATCTCGAATTGCACTTCGCGGCTGGATGGGGGTGAGACCTGCGAGGTGGGAACCTGCCAACTGCAAGTAGCTGCTGCTGTATGGGCACTTGGCTCCTCTCGCTCTTAAAGCTTTCGTTGATTTGCTCCACCGATCTCCGCACCGGCGGACGGACTGGGGGTCCTCCAGTCGAGACTTAGCATCGCATATCATTTTTCAGGGCAGCTGAGATGATGCAGCAGGTTCTTTGCAGGCTCCCAGCTGTTGGAGACGGTGTCGTTGCATTTTGCCCCGACGACAACACAGCCTCGCACTCAACTGGCTAGAGGACCATCCTGCATTCTCGTGCGCAGTTCCCGGCAAGTCAGAGAGTCGAGGTTCCTGATCAAGAGCTGATGGCACGAATCTCAGCAGCCAGAAATTTGACCAGCAACGTGACCTGGCAGCGCAACTACTGTCCGAACAATGCTACGGTCTTGAATGTAGTTCCTTTCGCAGAAGCAGTCGATGTCACGAACAGAGATCCACATAGCCCTTGCCCACGAGTAAGCAGGCGACAGAGCTCGACCCTGTGACCGGAGCGACGATCTATCGGCTCCGTGCTCAGAAGGGGCAAGCTTGGGCTTTAGCTTGCTCGTTTTTCCTTCGCGGCAGTGCTCGTTTGTTGAAGATTGCGCTGCGCTGCTGTTGACGCCCTCTTGCCAGGCCTTTTCAGTTTCCCGTATGCGAGACTCCGTCATTCTGCCCGGATCCGGATCCTCTACCTCCGGGCTATGTCAGGACTCTGCTTGCGGAGCTGGCAAGCTAGGCATGTGGCCATGGAATCTGAACAGGGTCTCCTGGCTTTATCCCTCGCTTTCGAAGCTCAATCTGATCCATCTGCTCGGTATCCTTCCTCTGTTCACCTGCGCGATCTGTTGTGGAAGTGATGTCGGCTCAGCTGAGAATCGCGAGGACTGGAACAGAGGGCGGAGCAGCTGAGGAGAATTACGCGCTCGAATCTCAGCCTCCGGCAGCGTGGTGCCTCATGCCTTAGGTGCAAACTTTGCCTGCGGCTGAGGTGCGCCGAGGGCTATTCCCCATCACCGCGAGTCAAGCGGAGTTGTGCCATTGGGACTTGCGTTGGCGGTTGTTTCCTGCTGCTGCTTGTCGTTCAAACGTCCGAGATCGTCCGAGGTAATGTCGAACAGCTCCGATCCTCTGTCGGCGCCGGACTCCCAGCGTTTTCAGAGACTCAGAGAGTCTCAGAGCCGTGCTCGCTCCGCGAAAGGTGTTTGCTGGAGCCTCTCTTCGAAGGATGCCCTCCCATCGTGAACTGCAGTGGAATTGACGAGCGCATGATCGACACCTGCCGTCGCATGCTTAGAGACAGCCCCCAATATTCCTATATTCACCAATGCTCTGCGTTCTCCGAGGATACGACGTCTCTGATTGTCCCGAATTCTTCGAGCCAGGCAGCACATGCGAGGCAGGGCACTGCTAGCTGGGCTGGGAGTGAGCGGTTTAACTGGCCTTTTGCAGGTTTCCTGCCGAGAGCCCTTCTACATTGGCACCGGCGCGGCTTTGGCGACCTGCCCCAGCGCCCGGAGCTCAGCGAGCAGCAAGGTGGTAAGGAGACTCTGCAGACATCTGGCCTTTTTGTCGAACCGCGGTGCAACAGCAAGTATCAAGCCGCGACAGCCTGCTTTAAACCCCAGGACAACACAGACCCAGAGAAGCAAATCGAGTTTCCTGCGGACTTGGTATGTGCTACACTCAGCAGGCAGAGCTGTGCTCATTGTCTGAATTCGCATCATAGTGGGAGGGACTGCGTAGAGCGACGAAGGCATTCTGGGCAACCGGTCACTGAGGCACGAAGGCTTGCCCGGAGCCAGATCCTGTGCCTGCGGGGTACGAGAAGGCTGGGGAAGCGATGGGCTCTGCGCAGTCTGTGGACTCGACTGGGGTCTGTAGGTAAGGTAGCATAACGCACCTGGACCAGGTGAACGGCGAATGGCGATGTGCGGCCGGTTACCTCGGGTCTGCTATCGCCGAGTGCTTCGCCAACAGCCCGGCTGAGCCTTGTGATCTGCTATGCCAAGAAGAAGAAGAAGGATTGAAGGGCTGGTCTGCAGCCGTCCGCCTCCGACCTAGGTCGACTCAATCTTCAGCAGCAGCACAAGAACAGTTGTCTGCGTGGCGGGCAGCTCAGTCACATCCTGCAGCAGTTCACCACGGCTTTCCCGATGTAGGCCAGACGTAACGGGAGCACTCGGAAGCATGTAGCTCACTGGCTCTGGAACAAACTGCGGACTTCTAACGGCGAGAGTTTTCTGCACTACGCGATGTAACAGTATGTTCATGCGAGTATTGAGTGGCTGGAAGATGCTGGAATTCAAGAGGGGCCAACCTCAGCAAGGACGTAGCTGGGAGCAGGCTGCTACCAGTAGGAGCCGTTAGACGAGCTGCAACGCTTGGAATTCCGAGCGCCGAACTGAACTTCCTGATTCCATCGCAAGATGACGGGGTGGTGGCGACCTAGACTTGCTCTGCTTGTATCCGAGCGTGGAATCTCGCGATGGCAGAGCGGCGATGCCAGTCACGCCATAGATACTCCGGGGTCGAGGCATTCGCTGTGACCAGCTGGCAAGACATGCCGCCACGGAGTTGTTTTGGGAGCCGGATGCACTCAGGGTCGCGTGGAGCTCACCGGCTGTGATCCTATGGCATCTTGCCAGCCACCCACCTTGGATGTGCCGGAAGCTTAGGCTTGTTTTCGCCCGTTTCTCCTCAACTCTGATCCAGACCTCGTAGCGTTCAGCCGCCTGGTTTTGCAGGTGCATATACGACGTTTCAGACTGCATCGATGCCGATTGGCGGCATTGTGCAGGGGGTGCGATAGATCTGTTGGCCTGCGCGTGGTTTTCTAGGACGGTTGACCTCGTGATTCTGCCTGCGCTTGCGAGGTGATCGGCGGGACAAACTGCTCGATTCGATGCCGGAGCCCGCCCTATGAGGCCACGACACTACATCATGTAAACCGAGCCGTGGAGCGACTCGGCGCAGGGCACTCCGACGAATGCTTCTTGTCCCTACGGGAATCTCGATCCTTTCCGCGTGGTAGTGCCAGCCTTACAGGGAGGGCCGGGAGAGATTCCTAGTGCTAACGGCAGGGGTCTTCTCGTGTCTTCAGGACTTCGAGCCGCCCAGTTGTGAGCTGCGTTGCCCGGTGCAAGAGGCAGGAGGGGAGCCGGAGAGACGAAGAGACCCTCCAGACAGCCCAGACAAGAAGTCATTGCTGACTACTAGTCACGTGTCACTCGCCTTTTTGATGATGCTTTGCCACGGCAACTTCTTTTTAAATGGCAGGCCTGTGCCCTTGGAGCTTCGTCTTTGCGCATGCGATGTCACGTACTCTGTCGACCCGGTCGTCAGCAACTGTAGAGTCACGCTCGTTCAAGTCGGGACTGCGTCAATAGCGGTCCCCATGCGACGAGACGGAGCTGGGACGATGGCGTGGTTACAACCTAACCTCCTCATGCGACTGTAGGCTTGTGTCAGAACCAGCGTCACAACAAGTCAAACTAGGAAGAGCAAGTTGTTCAAACATCAGCTTGACTGAGCCAGTTCTTCGTAGTGTGATTTGTGCTTTGTTCAGGTACTGCCAGATGGTTACAACTACAGCAATGGGAGCTATGTCTGCCTTGACTCATGGTTTGGGTCTGCAACTGCGGCATCTCGCTAGCACTTGTTGAGAGAATCAGACGTTGCTTGCATGTCTTGGATGGTCTTTGGAATTAGTCTGTGCGTGACTTGCAAGACAAGGAGTGTGTCGCCAATGAGGAGGACTTACTGGTGCATTGAATTTGTTGCGGAGAGGAAGTGGCATCGCGTAGTAACAGCCCGAGATACGACTTGTGCAGGACTGCTCATTTGGCATCGTTTTGTCAGGTTGTGGGCAGAGCTCGCCTTGTGTCGGTGTGCCCGCTGCCCGGAACAAGCATGGGCATGGGGCAGGAACGGATGCAACGGGCGGAACGACATGCATGGAAGGTACAGTGGCTAGGACCTAGGAAAGTGCAGCGCAATCTCCAAGGACGTCCAACACTACCGGCGGATGCTATTTTGACGTCTCGCCTCAGGCCAACAGCGAACGCCGGGTTAACCAGCGAGTCCAGTTGCGTCCATGCGCGTCGATGTGGCAGGCTTGCTTGGCGGAGGACCCAACGTTCCCTCAGGCCAACTTCGGACGTGGCCCGGGAGGCAGCTGCACGGCACCTCGGCTCAGATTTGGACGACTTTGACGCCGTCCGGACTTCCGCTGTCCGTCTCCAACTCCAGCGAGGTGAGCTGCCGGCCCCCATGCTCCGCTCCGGCTGCTCAGCTTCAAAATATTCACGGCCCACCCCGACGACAGGAATGCTGTGAGCGTCTTTCAAGTGTGCTGCTCGTGCAGTTTCTCGAGTGTCTGCGATGAAATCTCATCCTTGCTAAAGTGTTTCCGAGAATTCTGGGGATGACACTAGTCAATGTATGCGACGTTGGTACTGTACTTCGGCCGGTTCGCACTCTTCATGCAAGTGGATGTGCTCGCTGCAGGAAGGAGAGCAGACGTTGATCTGTCCGGCTTCAAACCTCAATGCACAACTGCCGCTTCAGGCAGGAAGTTTTTAACGACCCTGCGCTCACCGTGCATCTGTGGCATGAGATCTGCCTCCGGAAGTGGGAGTGCCGAAGTCTTGGTCAGGGCATTCTTCCAAACTGCTCCTTCGATTGCGATCCTACGGACCGAAATGGGGGCTATGTGAAGGCCTGTCCGGATACACGACATGATAGCTTGGTCCAGAAGGGTTTGGGGTTCACGCGTTTCTTTACGATGTAATGTGCCTCTTCCATCAGATTGACTCTGCAGGGGGCCGACGGAGAGTGGCTTTGTGCTCAAGGTTTCGCCGGCGAGGCCTGAACAGGAGAGCAACCATTTGCGTGCTGCCCCTGCTGTCCACTGCAGGTGGTCCATCTTTGCATGGCTGGTGAAGTCTGCGCGGACCGTCCGGCCTTGCAATCACGCCGTCGCTCCGCTACTCATTGCTGAAATGCGCGGATCACATGGGGTCGTCGACGGTCTCGAATCGGCCTCGAAAGTGCTCATGCTTCAACAGAGCACAGCACAGCTAGTTGAATCACCGGCTTCATTCCGTGGGAATGTCTGTTCCGCGGCATAGATGAGAAGCAGTTCCAGTTTGCGTATGCCGATGCCGCAGGATCAGTTGACCCTCACTGGTTGCGCACCGCAGCAGCTCCCTAGCTTCACGTATCAGCACATGGACACTTTGCAGCGGGTGCCCCTACTAGCCTGGGCCTGAACAGCTGAGGCCATGCCTACCACCAATCATCGAAGACACTCCGTGTATCTTCGACGTCTCGGAGTGCGAAGGTGCCCGACACATGCGCAACAGCTTGGAACAGGCAAATGCGAGGCCAATACCATGGGCTTTGTGCAGCCACTGCTGTGAAGACCACTCTTTTCTTGGCAACGCCCGCACAGGTGTTCCGGCTGGAGCGTCCTGCTTTGTGCGTTGTGCAGCGCCCTATTACCTGGGAAGCATCAGGCGCTAGAGTGTGCTTTAGCATCCTTTTGCGCAGCTAGATCCTGGCTAGCGAGGCCTGCCTCTTGCTCTGTCAACAACACACGCCTTGACGGCCGTGCAGAGCTTTCGGTTCGACCAGTGTGCACTTGGAATCCGGCGGACTGGGATGCTGTCTCTTCGAACCGTGTGCAGCTGGCCTGGCTGCATGCTGCAAGCTTGCACGCAGGAATCGTGTCCTGATCCGCCAGTTTGGCCGGCTGGTCTGACACTTACGATATGTTTGCATTTGCTTGTGCGGGCGATCGCGACCTGTGAGACTGACCCTCCGCACGTGTGCCATGAAAAGCTTAAAAGCCAGCCTAATGAGCCTGTCGGCGGAAGGGGCTTTAGCAGTCGGATGATGGAGCCGTGTGAGGGATGGGGGAGTGCACCAGTTTTGAGCATGCAGCGTCACGAGGCTACACTTTTGATGACCAGACTGGTGTCTGGATCTGCGCACCTGGTTATGTGGGAACCGCTGCCCGAAGCCCAGAAGGCAAGAGCAGGCCCAGAGCAGGCCCTGCAGGGAACTTATGTGTGGGTCTTAGCCTGCCATGGGCCGTTTGTCTCTCGCTCAGATTCGGCAATGCGCACTGCGGCTCGCAAGCCCCAACTCCGCACAGTGCATTCCGGAGGCCTGGGCGAACCGCCGAACGCTCGCAAATGCTCCGCTTTTTCATTCTGCAGGCGACCTTTCTCGGCTGCCTCCCTCTGACACCGTGCATCGAGCCCATTGTGCCAAGATCTCAGCCTGCAGCGCCATGGCGTTGAGCCGCTCGGAATTCAAAGGCACTCCGTGCCCAAATGTGTACCCAAGGAGGGACTGCACGTACAACACGACGGCAGCAGCGAACCTGACGATCGGCGCTGAGCGCAAGCAAGAGTTTTCATTTTGTGGTCGAATGTGGGGTGGCGTTGCTATAGGCCTGGTTCGACCGGCCTGATCTACTGCAATGCCTGGAGCTTGGTCTTGCAATGGGCACTGGACAAAAGTGGCTTTTTGACGCCCTTTGTTGCAGGTCCCTTATGATGGAGTCCCAGGCATCGCGCAATGCCCGATCGACAACAACCAAGAGGGCCAGGCCAGGCCCCGTGCTTTCTGCTGCCGGGGCGGCCTTGCTGCCATGCTGCCCCATGCCCTCTGGCAGGAGCCGCCGTATGTGCTCCCTGATTGCTTTCACGCATGCCCGCCAACAGCTGGAGATCCGGTTCCGTGTCTTGGCAGATGTCAGATGCCGCAGGGGTCACATCGATGTTTTCAACAGGCAGAGACCTGAAGCTGCATGAAGGTGTCGTCAAGGTACAATGACGATAGCATGGTCACGCCATGAGGCAAAAAGGGTTCACAGAAGTGCCGTGGAGAGAGACGACACGTCGGAGTTCTAGTTCAGTATTCGGGTTGCCACCGTCCAGGGCGGACTAGTCTCATTTGTGGCTCTCGGCTGTGCGGGTGGACCGGTAATATTGATTCGACAGTTCGCGGGCAGTTTGTGATCTCTGAGGCCTGGTTTCAGCTGGCAGCCAGAACCGAAGGAGCAGAGTTCACGTGTTCACACGGCATGCTTTTGCTGAGATGAGTGAGCGTCCGCTGAGAAAGGAATGGGTCTGCGACAACGGCTACCGGAGCCCAGCCGAGGCAGAGTTGCTTGGGAACGACAGCTACGGCTCCAGATGCCCAGCCAGGTGAACTGCACCACCAACATCGCGTGCGAATGGAAGCTCGACTTCGGTGGCTGCGAGAAGCTAGAGCCGTGCGCTGTCTGCACGCTAGAGTTGCTCCGAAAGCGCACACGCTGTTGCACAAGTTCTTGAGGTGTGCAGACTTGAACATGACGAGCTGTGTGGTGGCCACGCGTCTCGAAGACTTGGCGGGGTGAGGTGTTCTTTTTGTCGTATAGCATGGTGGGTGGGCTGTTCCCGCGGTTCTCGATTGCTGACCCCAAAAAGGATGGAGATGCATGCGTGGATATGGACTACGGGGACACCTGCACTCTTAGTTGCAGGGCGCCTCCTGGCGGCACCCGTCACCAGTCGTCACCAGTTTTCGGTCTCCTAAAACACCGGAGTCACTGCTGCATGTGACCTTGAGGCCGTTCTTCGTGGGTGTCAGCACGATCGCTTCCTGCCCCTCCGACAACATCGAAGCTTAGCTGATGACCGCAGTGCAGCTGCCCTCTATGGAGCAGAGGGCAACCCAGAAGAACTATAGGTTGGTGGCGCGCTGGCGCCCCAACACTTTCAGAATTTTAAGAGCACGAAGACGCTGGCAAACGCGGTATATTCTGCATTCTGGCTTCAAGAAGGGCGTTGGGACAAACACGCACTTTGGGCAAGGAGGCAGCTTCACTTGTATCCAAGCCCAAACTAATTGTTTTGTCCCAAAGCCCCCTTGAAGCCTACATGCGTATTATACGTACCGCGTTTGCCTGTGTTTTCGAGTTGACATACTGAGACAAAGACTATGCTGGAATCCAAGAAGGAGTAGCATGCTTGTTATCATGCCCCTCCTCCCCTCCCACCCCCGGTACCACCCGTCAAAGCCTAAAACGTCCGAAGACCACGAGAAAGCAGCAAGCTCGTAAATACAGAGTCCACAGGTGAAACTGCACGAAACCGTCAAAGCCTGAAGAGTCCGAAAAAAATACACTTTCGGAAAGGACTCGAAAGACCCGAAACACCAGAAACCTCGTAAATAACGAGTGCAAAAGCTAAGAAGTAGAGGAAAATGCAGGGGCGTGTATGTGCCACGGTCGAACTACGTAATCCAGGAGATGGGTCGCGAGCTCCAGTACACCCTCCCAAGCTGCGAGGCCCGAATTGCCGTGGTCTTTGCAAAGCATCGCAGGGTTTCTATGTGACGGTGACATCCCCAGCACTTACGTGCCGAAAGGTGACCTGTCCTGATCCAGACACTCCACCGGCTGGATATCGGAAGCTCGGCCTCTGATGAATACCAAAAACTGTCAGCATCATGTGCCTGCAACTGTGCATCCACTAGTCTGAGTGGGAGGGCTTCAGGATGAGTCGTCCGCGAATCATCTGCACCTTGCAGCGTTTTGCGTTGAAGTCAGGAAGGCCGGTACAGAGTTTGGCGTGTGCCCTGGCAGCACGCCGCGATTTTCAGAAGATGTCAAATGCTACGAGCAGCAGGGTGTTCTTCTCATGTGATGGCTGACCTGTCCTGCTTTCATTGTATTCCGCATATCCTGGACAGTGGGCCCAGTGGGCACAAGCAGGCTAGTTCACAGGATGAAGTTGCGAGGACCTTGAGCTGCAGGCTTCTGAAATGCCAGTGGAGCTGGAGGATAGAAAGAGCCAGTACATTCTCGGCCACTTTGCCCTGCGAGGTGGGAGTGTGCTGCTGGTTATTCGGGGACAGCTGAGAAAAGCTGCCATACGTCCTCGCACCTCGGTGGCGTGTGAGTGATAGTTGTGCTGGTAGGAAACTGATAGCTTCCACAATGCCGTCAATGCAGGTACGAGGATGGTTGCGTAACGAGCACCGTGCTCAGCGGATGCTTGCTTATCGTCCCATGTCTTGGGCTTAGCTTCCGATTGCGACTCTGCCTCCGGAGAAAATCGCAGGCGAGAGTCGGGGGTTCCCCGTGTTTCTGCTGAGGTAAGGCGCCGGATCCCAGGACTCAGCCTCCCTGCCACTTGGAACGAAAAAAGTTCTTTTCTTAGACACTTCTCCTACTCAGTCAGTGGGCTTTTTTTCATCTTTGCCCGAGGCTTCTACGACACCTCTTTGTGTCACTCCATCCCGGCTGGAAGCAGCTGCACCTCGAAGAGAAACCGGGTGTCGAAGCTCTCCCAAAAGGCCCTGAGGGTTCTTGCCTGAGGCACTATTTCCTGTTTGGCACCATACAGCGGCAGTGAGGGCCGAGGAAGCTGTCGTGCCGCGTGGCAGGAACGTTGTGGCAGTTATAGTGCAGAATGTTGGGATCATTTGACACAAAGGCTTTCGCCCTGTGTTCGTCACCCACTAGCCAAAGCTCGGGAGTGTCTGTTGAGAGGGGTAGCAGCAGCTGCTGCCGGTTTCTTTGCAGAAGTGTCATTGGCGAGACCATGTAGCTTTGTCAACTTCATCCCGAACTTTCACCTGCAACTTGTTTCAAGCAAGCCACAAATTCATCAAGCATCTCTGAAGAGATCTCCTGCAGGTAAACAATACGGATCCACACAGGCGCGTGTCGCATAGCAGACCATCCCACTTCCGAAGTAGACCGGGATGCATGCTGGCTTAGCACATGAGTGCCCACTGCACAAGCATATCATTCTTCCACAAGTAGGAACTGCATGCCGCGAACCGATGAAGGCCTTTGGCATACGAGTGGCCCGTCTGTTCGTTGGCAGCTCGCCTCAACTAGCATGGGCGGTGGTTCCAGTGGTGGCTGGAGCTTCGCCAGGGCCTGGTAGGCAGCAGGCGGACACAGGCCCTTCCATGTCGAAACTGCCGAGGACCCATGCCCAGATCCGGATCCAATTCCACTTGGCTGCTTGCAAGCAGGGATCTGTGATCAGTCAGCGGCATGCCAGTGTGCCGCTCGCTACGAGGTTATGTGAAGACCACAGGCCTTGCAGACCATGTGACATTGCGAGCAGCGCAGGGTGCCAAGCCTGCACTTGTTCTCCTTGTTCTTCATGCAACAGGTGGCAACTTGTCCTGGCGCTGCGCCGCTGCCTGGATGAACTTAGTCTAGCGGGCCGGGCTTCTCTATGAAAGATTTCCTGCATGAGCCTTGCTCGTACCATGGGGTGACTGCTCACGACAGTAGAGAATATGACAGCAGGCCTCGCAGACCCACAGCAAAGTCACTACATCCAGAGCACTGTCTTCACCACCTCAGCCTCGCCATTCGCTTTGGCCTGACCACTGTGTGACACGGTCTTGTCTCGTACGGATCCAAGGATGACCATGTCGGCATCCCCGCAGTTTCTTGCCAGCTGCCTGCACATAGTCTTCTGCAACGTCGTGGTGGCGGTGGTGGTTGTCGAAGCAGTTGCCGCAGTCTGCTGCTGTTGTCGCTGTTGCTGCCGCTGCTGCCGCTGCTGCTGCCGCTGCTGCTGCCGCTGCTGCTGCCGCTGCTGCTGCTGCTGCCGCTGCTGCTGCCGCTGCCACTGCCGCTGCCGCTGCCGCTGCCGCTGCCGCTGCCGCTGCCGCTGCGGCTGCTGCTGCTGCTGCTGCTGGTGCTGGTGCTGGTGCTGGTGCTGGTGCTGGTGCTGGTGCTGGTGCTGGTGCT